TTTCTGTTTTTGACTGATATGGGCTGTCTAATTAAGGAATTCCTGTCACTTTCTTCTCCAGCTGCTCTTACTAAGAAACTATTATTTGTGCTTGTATCTAAAGGGAAAGAGCTTGTGACCTGCTCTACATATACACCGCACCTCTTGCAAACAAACCCACCAAAAAATCAAATTTATCCCCATTCAACCCAAAAAAAATCAGCTCCATTTGTCTTGAACATGGGCTCTGATTCAGGCATGAAAATAACAGTACTTGATTTCTTTGGTAATTTGATACCAGGCACTGAGAGATGGAGATGGAAAACCCTAACACGAGAGGTGCGAGATGCTCCGGAAGGCCCCAGGTATTTCGAGGTTGTGTACGATATTGCGGTCCCTGAGTCTTTGCAGAAGGAAATATCCTCTGCTAGTAAGGAACTCTTCAATCTTCCCCAAGAAACAAAGGCGAAGAACCGATCTGAGTACTCTTTTCGGGGATATACGGCACATATACCTCAGATTCCTTTTTTTGAGGCCACGATGCTAGATAATTTTTAGAGAGAGAGAGAGGAGAAAGAGATGATGTAGAGGGGAATTTTTCTGCAACTTTGAGTTTTAGAGTGAGAGAGAGATGGAGTTTTGTGGAAGAAAAAAAGTTTGGATAGGGTGTCATTTTAGTGTTTCTTGTGGTAAAAATTTAAGGTCAAAGGGGTCAAGGGGGTTGTAAGATATAAAAGATAGAGACCTTTGCTTAAGTAATTTTTCAATTCTTGGGTCTCATGAGATATAGAAGTTAAAAATAGGGGATAAAGAGATATTCTCCCTTTTATTAGTATGTCATAATCTCAAGTGGCATATATTCATCATTTTCAGCCACATTCATTCCCATATTGATATAAGAAGTAACATTATTCATTCTATTAACATTATTTAGATGATACAAATTTTCAACTTCTTCTCCCCAAACTTAAACTCTCCATATTTTCCAATAGACACCTTCCTAGACCTGAAATAGATATCATTGCCCTTTTCATCTAACCTAGGGACAAAAATAAGGTTGCACTTCATATTCGACGCATGTAAAGTATTAGTGAGGAGGAAATTTACAATCTCAGGCAACTCTAACTAATATGTGAAAGGTGTCATTTCCAATGTATATCTGCTGGTCGCTGGTTTTTTTTTTTGAACGCTAACGTATGACTTATTATTAATTTATATGTAAAATACAAGATGTTCAAGCAATGACACAATATTACAGAAAGAAGTAACCAACAGAGAGGGAGTATGTACTCCTCCTTTAGCAAGAATATCGACATCTTCATTCGCCTCTCTATAACAATGTTGGACCGTCGCCATAGAGGCTGACAAAATATCCAAAATTTCATGAAAAATAGTCTCCATGGGATTTTGGCCGTTCTCTTACTCCAAGCAATGACATTTGCGGAGTCTCCTTCGATAATTCTGTCCCTTCCAAAGTGCATAGAAATTTCAAACCTTCTAATGAACCTCGTGCTTCCGCCTCATTTACTGTTGTGATACCACAAGAACTCGAGTAAGAAAAAATAATGTGACCCAAATTATTTCTGATGAGTCCCCCATAGCCGGCTGGCCCTGGATTGCCATGTAAACTTCCATCAAATTAAGTTTGAAGGAATTCACTAGTGGTGGTATCCAAACAACCTCACTACGAGTATTGATGGTAACACCATAGTTGCCACTCCGGAAGGATTGCTAATGATAAGACTTTTAAGAATGAAGCCACTATCCTTATGTGCAAGGAACCAATCAACTGCAACTGCCAAAATATTCGATTTTAATGTAGACAGATTTGCACTTATACTATCAAAGACTCTTCTATTTCTTTCCTTCCACACATTCCAAAGAAGGCTAACCCAAATAGATCTCCAAAGGATAGTTCCCATCTTTGAAATATCGGGTGTAATCCATTGGTCAAGAAGAGCTCGGACATTTTGGGGCAAAGGTAATGACAGATTGAGGCACCGACGAGCCAAATCCCAAAGATAAGCAACAAAATGGCATGAGAGGAAAAGATGCTGCGAAGTTTCATCATTGGCTTTGCACAGGATACATACATTGGTAATAATAAACCCCTTCTTTCTCAAGTTGTCAACATTTGCTAATTTATCTTGACACAGGATCCATAAGAATAACTGTACTTTAAGAGGCCAATGCAATTTTTTAATCTTGAATAAACCAGTATCTAATTCTCTCCAATGATCAGAAAATAATAGGTTGTAGGTTGACTTAACTGAAAAGTCTCCTGAAGGGGTAAGATCCCCAATAAAGCTATCATCCATATTTGGAGTCAAATATGTGTCATTCAATAATTCCAACAATGCCTAATACTCCTCAATGAATCTGTCTGTACCTGTTTTGTACCTGCAAGGAATGGACCAAACAATAGTATAAACACCCCTACTAGCCTCCTTGACATATGTTAGCGGGTTTAAAGCTTTTGAGAAGACCTCGGGGAAAAGGTATCTCATCGGTTCATCTCCAATCCATTTGTCAAACCAAAAAATAGTGGATTCTCCATTCCCCACTATTTTTCTGTATAACCGTAGATATACATATCTCTCATAGTCAATACCTCTCCAAACATCGGCCAAACTTGTCTTGTTTGTTGGACTTTTAATGAGACCAAAATTCAAATCCATTCCATATTTTTCTCTCAGAGCAAGCATCCAGAAAGACTTAGGTTGTTTATGGATCCTCCACCACCATTTTACTAAAAGTGTAGAGTTCATATGTTTTAGTCTCCTAACACCCACTCCCATTCATTGGTCTACAAACTTTTTCCCAACTCACCAGATGAATCTCTTCCTTCTTATGTCATCTCCCTGCAAGAAATTTCTCATATTCTCTCCAGTTGTTTTTCAACTTCTTTTGGCATTTTAAATAAAGACATAAAATATACTGGGAGGTTAAACAAAGTGGATTTAATCAACGTATATCTTCCCCCCATAGAAAGAGTTTTAGCTTTCCAAGTGTCAAGTTTCTTCTCAAATCTCTCCACCACCAGATCTCAAATTGATCTTGAAGACCTCAAATCCATCAGGGAATTCCCAAATAAGTACAAGATAAGGACTCAACACTACAACCTAATAAATGTGTCATTCTTGATACTACCATTTGCGGATAGCCAATCCCAATGAGCTTGATTCTACTCAAATTAACTTTAAGTCCGGTTGAAAGTTCCACTCTTTTCAAAAAAATCCGTAGGCAAGTGATTTCAGTAACTGTTGGATCACAAAATATAATGGTATCATCAACATATTGTAAATGTGATACTATAAGACCATTAATACCAATATTGACACTTGATATGATCCTTTGCACTGTGAATCCATTAAGCATGACACTAAAGCTCTCAGCTACCAAAGTAATATAGGTGAAAGAGGGTCCCCTTGTCTCAATCCTCTTGATGCTTTTGAAATAGGGTCTACTGGTTTTGACTTCCGTCAAATCGACAAAACCATCATTAGTTTTTGAAACATATCTGGTCGATGTAGAGTCCACCCATCATCCTTTCATAGCATGATCAACCACTATATACTCGGAGACCACACAAACTAAGTCGAATTTCTTGATATTCTTGTGGTTGCTCCTTTATCCATTGTTCATGTGGTAGCCATTGGATATATTTTTTATTTGGACATTTAAGTTTAATATACCCTATGTCTCCGCAAATGCAATATTTTGGCGAGTTGTTGTAGGCCTTTGTGGTTTGAAAACTTTACCATTCGCTTTAAATCGATTCTTTTTATTGTGATTGTTGTCAGGTCTAGGGTAGTCATGTTTAGAGTAATTTTGGGAAAAGTACAATTCCGCCTTTCCCTTTTTATTTCTTGTTTCTTTCTCTCTACTCAGGTGCATGGGTAAGTTCCACTTGGTAATTCCTTGAGATGAGTAATTTAGAGCATTGACTACAGGTTCTTATGACCGTGGGAGACTATTTAATACAGTTGACAAAAGCATACGATCGAGAATGAGGCTTCTTGTCGCAACAAGGTCTTTAGCAAGAACAAGCATTTTGTTAACATGCTCTTCCACGAATTCATTTTCCCTCATCCGACATGAGTTGTATTTCTCGAATAAAAAGTTGAATATGGGTTTCAGATGTAGATCCATATTTTTCAATCAAAGCTTCCATCATTAATTTGGATGTTTCATAATCTTCAAAAACTCTTATCAAATCATCTTCTGTAAACGTAAACAATGTAGTTTTTACTAATTTGTCATCCCCTTCCCATTTCACAAGTTCTCTTCTACTATGGGCAGAGGGGTTTAAGGTTTAGTAGAAGTCAAAATGTAGTCGATCTTGTCTTGAATCAATATGTAGTTCATTTTTCTTTTCCACATAATGAAATTTGACCCATTAAGTTTTTCGGTTTTAGATAGTTCACTCATCACCAATACAGCAGCCATGCTATCAAAGAAATATAGGAATATCAACAAATTCAATATTTAGATCATCTAACTGCTTTCTTGATAAATGATTTTATCAATTTCTCGGATGATGATGGTGATGCCTTTTTGGTCGATGGTGAGTCACAGAGTTCCTTTATTGAGGGCGACAAGTCCAAGTCTTTTTGCTACACAAATAATCGAAGCCCTACATCGTGAGCTTGGCTGTGTGAAAGAATCAGCTTTTACTACGGAAATGTTCAGCGAAAATAAAACTTTGGGTCGATAGGGCTTTCACATGTCTAGAGAGCAGTGGATTAGCATTTGACTCAGGATGCAAACAGATATCCCACCCAAGAAGATTCTCAAAAGAGAGAGAGGGAGGCAATAAAAGTTAAAAAAAAAAGTGTAGAGCATGGACAAAAGTGTTGCTATTTAGGTGCGTGTTTGATAACAGGAAGTGTATTCCGGAAACTTGGAACTTCACTTTACTGTTCATGTTTGGCGTATGATAAAAAAATGGAAGTTAAATGGAAAACTTCACTTTACTGTTCATGTTCCCCTCTACTGTTCACTTTATGTGTTAAAAAGCGTTCCGACCAAAAGGTCGGAACTTGTAGTGGGAAGTTTCTATAAAACTTCACCCACGACAGTTTGCCCTTGCCCTGAGCCATCCCTTTCTTCGCAGCTGAGCCATCCCTTTCTTCGTAGCAGTCCCTCTCTTCGCCGCAGGCCTTAAGTTTCTCAACCTCGCTCGGCCCACCGAAGCTCAACCCTGCAACTTCTTTCCTCCTCACCTCTTGTCGCTCTGGCCATCCAGGACCCTAGCTCTATATAGAGGATACCAGGTACGCTCTTCTATCTTTCTCTCTCTCTCTTGGTCTTGGTCTCTTTGTTTCTCTCTCTAGAATTTCTGAGAGGCTTTTCTGAGCCCCATTATGTGTTGTCACTAGATATCATTGAATCTTAAGTTGGATTTGAGTCTCTCTCTAGAACTTTGAGATAATATTGGTCTATCTCTCGACATTGTGGTTGAAGGTTTCATTGGTCTCTCTCTAGAATTTTACAGGGTTTTGTTGTTAAGTTTGTTTTCTATAGAGAATACCCAAATATAATAGGGTTTTTTTATTAAAGTGATTATACGGAATATCGATACCCAACTCTAACACGGTCAAGTTGGTTTATTTTACTCATTTAACTGAAGAATCATTCTTAGGTTTGTTGTCTAGTTTCTTATTTTTTTTCTTCATTATTGGTCTTTTTGACGTGAATGGAATGTTAAATTGGTTTTTTTTTCACTATGTTGTGATTATTTCGTATTTCGTGGATTATTTGCATCTTTTGTGGTGCAATTCTTTTTTTTTTAATGCGTTTTGTGGTGGAATTCGATGATGTTTTGGTGCGATCTAATTCTGGTTTTTCATGATCTGCTAATAGTTGGTGACCTCGTTGATCTGAACTGTGAAGTTTATTTGTGTTTTATTGCATATTTCTGTGTCTGAATTAATATTTTGTTCTCTGTCCATAAATATTTTATTCAGTTTATCCATGATTTATTCATCATTAGTGCTCATCTTTTCTTCTGCACTTTTTTTTTTTTGAAATTTCTGCTATGGTTATTTTGTTGTAGACCATCCCCTCCCCCAAAACAGAAATTCTAGACAGAGTTGATGTCACATCAGACATCGGCGCAGATTCGCACGTAAACATTTGTTCCACAATTTTTGTTGCTAATTATTGCTATTGTTATGTAGAATTGCTATGGGTGGACTCTGTGCTTCAAAATGAGTGGTGGGGTTGAAATTTGTTCTCCTTTTGTTTAGTTTTGTGGGATAAATTATTTGTCAATTTCATTCCTTGGATTAGAGTATTTTTTTGGTTGAGTTTATTCTTGGTTTTATTTTTTTGAGTTTATTCTCAATGACTTCTCTACTATTGAGTAAGAAGATGCAAACAGCGAGTCCTTGGATTAGAGTATTTTTTTGGTTGAGTTTATTCTTGGTTTTATTTTGTTGAGTTTATTCTCAATGATTTGTGTTGGATTAAGGAATTCTCTTGAGTAATTCATTCAGGCAATTTGTGTGTAATTTCTAGCTAATTTTAAAGTTAAATTTTTGTTTGTTTGTATTGTATACATGGGTTTCCACTCATTGTCAGTTAAGTTTTGAACTCTGGCATATAACTTTTATGTAATTCTATATTGAGCTTCTTGAGATTATTATTGTGATCTCTGCATCTCTCTATCATCAGCATTTTTGCTACCTCTTATGAATCCATTGACTCTCATTTCATCTTAGAGACAACAAAAACACAACTTAAGTGGAATTGAATATACGAATTGTGCTTAAGTGGAATTGAATGTAAGACATGCACTTTCTCCCATTTATTATGTGAAAATAGCAAAATCGATTGCATCATACTTTATACGTATCATGCTTCATTTGTATTATTTTTATTGATTGTGATTGCATCATACTTCATATGTATAATTATTCATATACATATCGACCCGGGCTGTCTGGCTATTTTCTTCAATTATATTTGGGATGTTTGCCTACAGGGTGATTGATTTTATTGATTGTGATTGCATCATTGAGAGGGCTTCCTTGAGCTACTTGGGATGTGTGGGTATTTTCTTGTCCATTTGATTATTTTGTCAAAATTGATAGAAAGTCTGTTTGGTCTTTAAAATTTGGCTATTTTCTTGGCCATTCATAATGTGGGTTTGTTTATATCTTTTTATGCAAACAAGATATGTTCGTTCTATTGCATTTTCAATTATTTTGTGGCCACAAATTTTGAGTCCTCGTCGAATTTTGTGTTCATTCTATTGCATCTTCAGTTACCTATCTACATGAAAAAAAGTCCATTCATCTTTGTTCTTTGATTGTTATTATACAGCAGCATAGTCACATGGTTTCTCATAGTTGCTCAAGGTGTAGGTTAGATGAAGGTAATAATATGGAATATTATCTTCTATACTATTGTCGTTTTTGAGGGCCTCTATTTTGTTTTGTGGCGAACCCATGATGCTAAATAAAATGGATTGCTTGCATTTTAGCAAGATGCAGTGACAACAAACAAATTGATAAAAGAGCTTATTGCTTGGAAAATTATTCAGGATGAAAATGGAATGTAAACACTTGGACCACTTTGAATTTGGTTGTTAGATACCTTCCTTTTTAGTTGTATTTATCAACAAGGCTTTAAAAATTCCTTACCTCGGATCAGTGACTCAGCTTGGCTTGGTAGGTTCCTGAGCTGAGTCATACAGGATCCATTTGGTTGAATCTAGCGATTAACCAATAAAAAGAGGCTTGACTCAGTTGAGTCTTGTGATATTACAAGACACTTGCCAAGGTTGTAAGGCAATTCACAAGTACTTCCTCAAATTGCATATTTGAATAGGATAGCAGATTTTTACTCGTGAATGTAAGTAGTGCTCAAGTTATTACAGGTTATTGTTGAATGGGCTGATTGCTTACTATTTGCATTTTCAATTTTGTATGTTTAAACTATTATAGGTTATTATTGAAATGTTGTGTTCATGCAATTGCATTTTCAATTATGTATGTTTAAACTATTACAGGTTGTTGTTGAATGGGTTGGTTTTGTACATTATATATGGATGCATGAATTGTGAATGTTGCTTGACATGCATCACAAATGTTTTAAGAGATAACACACAAATGTTGTATGCCATTATAATATTAGAGAGAGAGAGAGAACACACAAAAGTTTCAAGGGACAAACAACAATGTTGTATTATTGTTGAATATTTTTTAGGTTGGGATATAGATGCATCAATGGTGAATGTAAGTAGTGCTCAAGTTATTACTGGTAATGGTTGAATGGGGGCTGATTTCTTACTGCTTGCATTTTGTATGTGTGTTAGCTGATTTCTTACTGCTTGCATTTTCAATTATGTATGTTTAAACTATTACAGGCTATGTTGAATGGGCTGGTTTTGTACATGGTTATATATGGATGCATGAATTGTGAATGTTGCTTGACATGCATCACAAATGCCTTAGTAGATAACATATAAATGTTGTGTGCCATTATAATCTTAAGAGAGAGAGAGAGAACACACAAATGTTATGTGTATCACTTGTGAATGACAAATATTTTTGAATTGTGAATGACGTACATTTTTTAGGTTGGGATATGGATGCATCAGTGGTGAATGTAAGTAGTGCTCAAGTTATTACAGAAAAATAATATTGTACTCTGCTTTCAATTGATGTTGTATTCCAAAACATAATATTCTACAAATTAATAAAAAATAAATAATATCTAGGTATCAATTTTAACATTTACATCTTGCCTATTACTTAAAGCTAATACAATACTGATACCCAGTTCTTCTTTAACTTCTCAGGAGGTTATCAAACATAGAAACCATGAACTTCTTAAGTTCTCAAGAGGTTATCAAACACAGAAACCAGGAACTTCTTAACTTCCCAACTTCCCAGGGGTATTATCAAACACCGAAACCAGGAACTACTAATGTATAGTTATTCAGGAACTTCCAATTTACAGTTCATGAACTTGCTTCCAGTTATCAAATAGGCCCTAGGGGAAGAAAGAGCACACATAAAGACAAAATAAGAGGATAAAAAACTATATAAAGACAAAATAAAAGCTTTAGAGGGTAGAGAGAGAAACAATATTTTCCAGTTTCAATTAAGGAGATGACAAAAGTATATAAAGACAAAATAAAGATTTGGTATGAAGGGTAGAGAGAGAAACAATATTGCTTGCATAAATCAAGAAGACAAAATAAAAGCTTTGGTATGAAGGGTAGAGAGAGAAACACTATTGCTTGTGTAAAACTGCATGTGGCAATAGCGTGCCCCCTTATGGACTTCGGGTAGAGAGAGAAATTGAGTGAATCCTGTAAGTTTGATAGAGCCTCACAAAGAAATGAACCACGCTCTGATACTAGTGTCGAAAAATAATTATAAAAATAATTCGATTGAAAAATGATAGAAAAGGAAAGATTAAAAAGAATTTTTTTTTTTTCCTGTAAAGCTTGTGGATAACTAGAGAGATGGGCAATGACTTTGTGTTTGGGGAGTGAGCCCCGTTTATAAGCATGGGAGCTTATCCCCTTACCACATATGGAAGGTTTTGCATCTAATGGTCCATATTTCTCTATGTCCATATCAATTGGTTAGCGGTTATGGGTGGGTCATGTTTGGTCCCAAATTACATTAGTTAGACCCACCAAAAACCCAAATGTTACGCATTTGCATTAAACAAGACTCGTTTATTTTGGGAGCCTTAGATAGGTATACTTTCTAGATTCTCAAAATAACCGGTCTTGGACAGATCCTCTCACTCATCTTGAATACACGAGCACCAATGGTTTTAAGGACTTGTTTCCGAGGATTGGGTTTCAGAAGAGCCTATTAAGGGAATGACTCTTGGGCAGGCTCATAAATGAATTTTGATGGGGGCTTCTAATACATCTTTTGCTTGATTTTCAGAATCATGAGAAGAGAACATGAGAAAAAAGGGGATTGTAATGAGATGTTTTTCGAGGAAAGAGCAGAATCTCCTTTGGCTGTCGTGATTGTGCCCCAAAGCGTTCAAAGCTGATGCATAAGCAAGAGGACCAATAACTAGGAGACGTGATTGCGAGAAATGATGCACAATGGGCGAGTAGAAGCACAAAATTGGGAAGGACGGGTGAAATGGGGGCCGCGCCAAATGAGGAAAGAGTGATAATGGAGATGGTTTAAATTTATGAGGATGGTGGGTGAGAGCTCATGAAAGAGTGAGGGCTCATGAGAGAGTGAGAGTTTGAAAGAGCGAGAGAAAAGGGTCGGCACTGGCAGTGTTTATTGCCAGCCCGACGAAGAGAAAGAGAATGAGAGATGACACGCCAGGCACGGTCAGCATTTACCACCAGCCTGAAAGAGAGGGAGAAGAGTAGAGGGCCAGGGGCTGGCAGCATTTACTGCCAGCCCAAAATAGAGGGAAAGAGAAGAGGGCTGCCAGTCCAAAATAGAGGGAAAGAGAAGAGGGCATGGGGTCATTGGCATTTGCGACCAAGCCCCAAAAGAGAGAGATGGTGCCGATAGTAATACCAATGGCTTGGGGCAACCGGCATTATTACCACCGGTCGCCACCCTAGAGAGAGACCTGAGCCCGTCATCTGCCAGCACTTGTCATTTTTGCACGAATGTCATGGCTGGTGCCACCATCATCGGCTCAACCCGGGTTTACAAATGAGCCGAGCCATAGTCATATTTGAGCTCCTTTGGGTCTCAAAATGTCCAGTTTTCTTCTTAAATTCCAAGAAGACCCTTGTGGATAAATTTTACCCGCTATTTGAGGAAACATTCCAAATTTAACGAGGACATTAGTGGTCCAAGATATTTTCTACTTTTATATTCCTACCCTTTATCTTTGGGACAAGTGTATATAGAGCTTAGGCTTTAAACAATCAAATTAGTGCCTACCTCAAAACTTTCACTAGAATATGTTGTTTTGATGCCGAAGTATCATGAAATTGATCATCTCGACATCTACATGGACATGAGAAAACAAATGAATTTCAAGTTTTGGAAATAGTGCATCTTGTAGTACATTTTTCAACCGTCAATTTTTAATATTTTCAACTTTTCATAGATTTGTTCGATCTACACTATTTTTGAAGCTTTAAATTTTATAACTAAAGATGAATTATAATTTAAGACTATCACAAAACTTTCCAGTATTGAAAGCCATATTTCTCGACACTATTTGAAGGTGGGCTCTAAATTGATTGTTTAGAGCCTCGGCTCGATATAAACCTCACCCAAATTTAAATGACAAATTGGAAAACAAAATATACACTTGGCACTTCTTCCTCCTACATAATAGATAGTCGATATATTATAGATACGAGTGTGCTTCAATAATGTTTTCTTCTGGAATAACGAATGGACTAAATAATAACGTTACCACTTGCGCTGCCATACCAGTACGAGTTAGAAGTATTAAAGCAGTAACTTATATCAAACAAAAAGTGATACTAGAACTTAGCTCTAAAAGTTCCTTAGGTAATTAATTAACATTCCAAGTTAAAGTCCATGATTTAATGAATCAACTAAGGCACGGTCATTTCCTTGTTTTCAGGAATCCCAAGTGCTATAGATAATTCATAGTGAACTGTATCATAGCCTGGACAATCAAGACTACGAAACTAATTCCAACGTATAAACACCCAATAAAGAGTTTCAGGCCAAAAGCAAAATTTTCTTCCCGATAATTTTGTCCGCGAAACTTCTTTTCTGAAATTATATCTCCTACAATAGTTAAGAAAACCTTCAGAAATAACATGATTGAAAGCACATGCAATTCCCACGATTTCTGTTCCTTCCAAATAATAAATAGCGAACAGAATAAGTTCAGATTATGTAACTGCATTTTCAAGAACCTCTTTAAATACGTCGATAGTAACCCCAAAAAATCATCTTAATATTCCTTCCCAGAGATTGCAGGGATATCTTATGTTTAGTTACAAGTTCATCTCCATCAATTCCCATGAGACTGAAGTTCATATTCAGTTACGTGTCCTTTCCCCTTTTAAAGCACCTCCTGGGTAATCTTTGGCTGCAAAGAACCAACATCAAACAAAACAAAGTCAACAAAGAGGATACCTGAACTCAACCATGTACAAGTATCATGTAATACGGTGGCAACTGATTGGCAATCTTACAGTTCCAAAAGGCTTAAAAAGTACCATCCATCCAGCCCATGCAACTTTTGACTATTAGCACCTGAAAACAATGCCACAGTAAAATTGATGTATTCTATTCATTGTGACGACAAAAGAAAATAGAAATCGATTGAAGTTGGGTATGACGGTCTTCCGGCAGTCGCATAAAACCAGTTACCATGACTATTCCTCCATTTTGCAACAATACCATATGCAAAGTAAATCTACTTGATTCCGTTATCCAGATTCCAAAAACTTTACTGCCTTCGAAAGCCAATCTTCCCAACAGAACCCCACTGAAGACTATAGTGCCAAACCACTTGTTGGAGACAAACCTGTCAAGAGTAAATCAATAACTGGTTAATGCAGGACAAAGTGACAATAGGAAAGATGAGGTCGATCAACCTGCAATGAATCGGAATACATGTGCCATACTACTCAAAATGAAGTCATATGGATTTTTACATATATCTTGGCATCAGCCATGTATCATGTGGTATGCATTAAAGATGCCAAATAAAGTGTATTTATAAACATGCTCAGACACTCCCTTGCCAACGCATTTAGCGTTGACAACTAGCTAACCCAACATGTTCAAACTTTGAAAAATTAAAAATCTCTCAATGAAGAAAGCATTTTTTTTCTAGTGGTGGTATTCACCATCTCCATATTAAGTAATCAATAACACACTTTTTCGCAAGGACGTCACATCGGCATATATGTATAGATCCAAGTTTTGACAGCCAGACTCACGCCAGACTGGGCAAGAGTCTTAGTGAGTAAACTTTATGCCTTGGGCCCATATTCGGGGAATGTCGGGCAAAGCAACAAAAAATAGAAAAAATCCATAACAATGAAGGAAACAGAAAACTTCAAAAAATTGTAGAAAAAAGTAATAAACGATATTGAATGTCTTGGAAGAGACAAAGCAATAAACCATATAGTTGCTTTATGATAATTTCAATCAATGTTGTTAGATTCACTCTGGGGAGCTCTTCGTTTTGGTTGGGAAAGGAAGTGCTTTGGCCCTTCAGTTGATTCCAGGCAAGTCTTTCCATGTACTTCTTCATGGATACATATCTATATAATTATCTATTATTTAAATAAAATATTATAAACTAACATCTAAGTAGGCATTTATTTAGAATATTAACATATCATCATCATCGTCAAACCTTTTTCCCAACTAATTGGAGTCGGCTACACTAATCCGGGTCCACCATTCTGCTCTATTAATGGTCATACCCTTAGTGGGGTTATAATTCCCTGTATCTTTTCTCACTAATTTCAACTATGTCCTTTTGGGCTTACCCTTTGCCTTTTTTTAGCCTTCCCCATATCAACATATCCAGGTATATGTTCCAAATTTTAGATCTTATCGGGCATATTTGTGATATTTCAATAAATAGACGATATTTTAAAGTTCTCTAATATATTCAAAATATAGGGATTGGATTCACTTCATTACAGTTTACGGACTGAAGCCGAAGACATCAGCCGATTCCGCCCAAGTGCAGCAAGTCTGATAACATTAGTTTCAAACTCTTAAGGTTAGTAAAGATTCACACACTACTACAACTAAGTGAGTATTGATGACATAAGCTAAGAAAAAATTACAGTCAAACTATAAATCTTCTACATAGGAAACCCAAAGCCACTACTATAGGTGCTGAGCAGCCCTTCTAGTTTCCTGTTAAATTTCAGATTTTAGGTTCATAGACAATAACATGAGAAAACACCTTACTGATTTTCGCGATAAATCTGAAAGAGTCATGATATGCTTGGAAAGACAAGAAAATGCATCATTTAGCTGTAATGTAGGCCAACAAAAATGAAAGATGGCAATGTCCATGCTAAAGTAGTTGTACAAATAAATGAGCTCTTAACTATTCTAATGTTTGGTAAAACAGTAAAAGTACCATAAGCATGAGGTACAGATTATAGGACAGCATATCATAATAGACTCAGTTGAGTCCTCATCTCTAGAGACAATTGAACTAATTTCTGAGAGAAAACTTCCAACTCACCGAACCCTCTTATCGAGCTACATCAATACATGAAAAAAAAAAGCACACAAATGTGTGCCCATGCATAAACAACAAAATGGGAAGGGAGATATGCATACCCACATCCATGGCGATGAAGGCCGTTCTAGTCAAAAGAAACACCATGCACGGTCATCGACAGTCGAAAAGCTTGCTGCAGCCATAACTATGAAGACAGTAGCAAACAGAACTCATAATGCACCAACTCTCACTTTTTATAGAGCAGATGTTTGGATCATCTGACCAATGGATGAACAGGTGCTTCAATCAGAGTTCACAAGCAATGAAACCCGATGCCAGCAAAAGGGTATGAACAATGGGGAAGAATGAAAGTAAAACATAATCCTTTGAATCTATGTATGGACCCCAAAAAATTTGTCCCCATTCATGGGGCGCGCATGATGATAGAGTCAGTAGAGGGGCAGCGCCGTGTGTGCGGTAGAGGAGGCACGCGCCCGGCGCCAAGTAAGGGACTATCGCCGCGTGCGTAAGGGACTATTGCCGCGCACGTAAAGGACTATCGCCGCGTGCGTAAGGGACTATCGCCGTGCGCGTAAGGGACTATCGCCGCGCGCGTAAGAGACAATCGCCGCGTGCGTAAGGGGCTATCGGCCCGCACGTAAGGGATTATCGTCTCGTGTGTAAGGGGCTATAGCCACGCATGTAAGATACTATCGCCGCATGTGAAGGCAGAAAAGAGTTGACACCGCGTGTGAAAAGGAAGATGTGACCGTTGCCAGCGCCGCACTTGTCAGTGCCGTATGTGACAGCGCCGTGCCTGTCAGAACCGTGCACGTAGCCCTTCCCTCCCTTCTTGCCGCTGCCTCCCTCCTCTCAACTTCACGACTCTCACTTTCTCTCCCTCGAGCTCAAGCGTGAACCCTCTGCTGATGCAGTGTCTTTGAAAAGCCTTTGCTTGAAATTAAGGAAAGCCATTGAAGGCCGTGAGGGGAGGTCAAGAGCACCGTGAGAGGCAAAGTAAGTGGGTTTAACTCTTAAGCATCCATGGTGGGTAGGATGATAGAATGAAAATGCAATGTATAGGTTGATGGGAGGTTGAAATTTTGGATTCGTGCTTCTCAATATCATATGACTGTTTCAACTATGTAAATGATCTTGTTATTCATGAAAACTTATGAAATAGTTCATTGTGAGACTTGTTAACATGAACAAGGTTCCACGCCCCAATGGTACCTTGGCCATGAAACATTTGAGTGTTCTTTAAAGGCATGTTAACTTGAGAATAAGAATTTCCAGGACTGTGACTGTTTTTGCATCAAGGTGTTCAGTGGCCAAATGGTGTCCAAATGGGACCAAATCGGTCTCACATAGAAGATATGTATGTCTACTTCAAGTTTGCTTTTTATATCATGATAAGATTTCGTACGTATTGAAAGATGGAGCCTAAAATGTAGAGACATGTTACTGCTCACAATCGCTGTAAATTCCAGCAACTGTGACCCTTCTTGGGCCACGCTTTTGGCCTAGCAACGATGCCCAAAGACCTTCAAATTGCCACCATTGGAAAGGTCTGTGAATATACTCAAAGTTGCATGTTTTGAAGTTTTCGAAAGTCCCCTTAAATTGGGAGTTATACCCCGAGAAAAGGGGTAAGTCACTGTTGCACGTC